ATGCAGCCTGCCACGAGATGCCTATGGGGTACTCGAACAAATTAATACCAAGAATGTGGGACCTGGGTCAATGCTCATGCCACGCTGCCCTGTCAATACCCAGCCAGGCTGGGAAACCTAATGATTCAGCCAGTGGACTCTATTTGGTGATGATGAATCCTGGTCACACGCCACTCTCTGAGTCACATTGCGCATGCACTAAAAAGAAACCTAATTTCAGCAGTTATGGCAGATTAGACTGGTTGTTTGTATTATGTAATAGATAGCAAGTTTAAAACAAACAGAAGGAAGTATTTCTTCGTGCAGTGCACAGTCAACCTGTGGAACTCCTTGATGTTGTGAAGACCAGGATTTTTAACAAGGTTCAAAAAAGAGCTAGATACATTCATGGAGGTTAGATCCATCAATAGCTATTAGCCAGGATGGATAGGAACGGTGTCCCTAGTCTCTGTTTGTCAGAAGTTGAGAATGGGTGACAGGCAGGGCCGGCCCGAGCCTTTCGCGCACCCCAGGTCCAGGAAGCGCGGTGCCGCCCCCGGGAGTGCGACGCATATGTGGCCCCGTGCCCAGCGCATATGCGGCCCTACCCCCAACGCACAGCGCATGCGTGGCTCCGCCTGGCCCGGTTGCCCCACGTGGCGCCTCCTACAATGAGGCGCCCCGGGCGGTAGCCCGCCTCGCCCGTACCTTGGGCCGGCTCTGGTGACAGGGGATGGATCACCTGATTACCTGTTCATTCCCTCTGCGGCATCTCTCAGTTGCCACTGTCAGAAGACAGGATACTGGGCTAGATGGAACTTTGGTCTGAGCCAGTCTGGCCGTTCTTGTGTTACGTAACTTACAAAATACAATAGTGTCTAAAATCTGGTGTAATTGGGTAATGCAGTGGTCCCCAACCTTTTGGGGCTGCCGGGCGCCTGGGGGTAGGGCCGCTCACATACCGCGTGTCCGGGGGCAGGGCCGCGCATGCGCCGTATGCCCGGGGCCGGCACCGGCATGTGCCATGCACCTGGGGCAGAGGCCGCCCATGCACCAGGGGCCGGCACCACGCTTGTGCCGTATGCCCGTGGCAGGGGCTGCCCATGCGCCAGGGGCTGGCACCGCGCTTGTGCCGCACGCCCAGGGTAGGGGCCGGCCCAGATTGTTCGACAGGCAGACATAAATGGCCCGGCAGACACCGTGGTGCCTGCGGACACCACATTGGGGACCACTGGGGTAATGCAATGAAGTAGCATCCATACGTATTGCCTCGATTCCTTCAGTGGATACTTCAGTTATACTACTTGAACAATGTATTGGGACTAGCTATTCAGGCCAGATCTTCATGGGGTATAATCTAGCATAGCTCCATTGAAGTCTACAGAGCTATGATGATTAGCAGCAACAAAGGATCTGGGCTGTTCCATTTTTAAGCCATTTTATTTTCCTTCTTGTCCACATGAGTGTTTCCTTCTATAGCTTCCACTTTTAGTCATGAGAAACATCTAACTCTACTCTCCCACCCTTTCAAAGGAGGAGGGAGAACAATCAAATACAAACTGCCTGAAGTAATTTGGTTACTAAAAAAAAGCATGTCATGTGGCAGAAGGAGTGATAGTAAATTATGTCTGATGCACTGAGAAATGTTGAACTGGTACGTTAAGCTGTCATACACCAGACCCAGCAATGGTTCCATGTGAAACAAGTGCAGGTGCTAGTTTATTTAAAAACCAAACCACGGAACAGGTGCATCTTTTCTTATTAATACAAATACTTAACCACAGGGGGAAAAACAAGAGATCTGTCAAACTAACATTTAGGTTGACTTAGATGGAAAGAAGATTCAGTGATATAGATTTAAGGCTGAAAATCGAGATTGACATCTCAGCCTTTGTTTGAGGGGCTTCTACATGAACATTTAATGGAGGGTAAACAAGGGAGTAAATTTCACCCACATTCACTGCCACTGAGTGATTGTCTGTGTGGACTCTGCTGACGCGTGCCAACACTTTCTTAGTGGACTTTGCTCTCGCCCTGTTTCAAAGTGAGGTAGAGCAATGCGCACAAAGGAGCTGCATGCAGCAAGTGGCGTCGGGTTCCATACATTCCCGGCTTGCCTGGATCCGGCTCCTGAGGGTCAGGGCTGCCTCCCAGCATTAGGGATTCAGTGCTAGTGGTCCAGCTCCCCCTCTGTCCTCCAGCAGGGCGTGTGCACACACAATCTACTAGCCTGGACACCCCAAGGCTCTGGTGTGCAAGAGGCCCCAAGGCTCTGGTGTGCATGTGTCTTTCTCCTGCTCAGTCAGGGGCCACATCAGAGAAGGCTAAGTTTTTTGTTTGCTTTTTGGTTTTGCTTCTCATTTGTGTGCAGCCCCCAACTGATTTTTCTGTGGGTTAAAAGCCCGTAACCCCAAAAAGGTTCCCCACCCCTGAACCAACATATCTCTTGCGTATCATGAGTCAACCTTCCCTTTTAGTGTAGACCTGACCTCAGTGTGTGAATAGGGGTTGGGGGGAGCTGGTATGCACACAGTCAGGTTTAGGCTCCCAAGAATGCAATTTGAAAATGGTTCCTAAAAGTGTCCTAAATCCATCTTCAGGTTCCAAAACATAAATGGCCTGCTTTCCAAACGTGCTGCCTACTGACCCCAACAGGATTACACAGAATGTAAATCAGCACCTAATTTTCCCCTTGCAGACTACATAGATCTCCAACGTTCATGGATGTTGATTTTTTTTATTTTTTTCCCTCTATTAAACTGTCCTGCATAGGCGGACAACCAGGCTCAGACTCCTTTGCATATTCTGCTTTCTGCTGCCACATCTTTTTTAAAAATCTATCTTTGGATTATAGAACAAATGACTGAAACCAATAGCAACTGGGGAACAGAAACTCCCTCCTGGTTAACTCATGCTTATTTTTAAACCTGGGCTAAAGGTGGAGCACAGTAGGCACCCAACGGCAATAGCATAAGAACGTGCCATGTAACATCTAGAGAGAAATGCTTTCTAGACATCTTGGCACACAGGAGAGGGGACAAAAGAGCAAGTCCTGCTTGTACAGTTAGGCAGCCTCACTGACCGATGGATAGACTGGGGTCTGCATCAATCTGCGATACAGCGGGATGAAGCCAAAAGAGAATTGCAACAGCATGAAATAATGATGGACGCTATAATGGGCATCTATCTGTCCCCGCTTTGGGGAAGGCTTGTATGAAGATACTTATTAATTCAGTACATGCTCTTTGTATTGTGCCAGTGTCCCAAGATACATCAACCCCTGCCCCTCTTATTCTCAGTGACAAAACTCCCTGGCTGTGTCTACACTGGCATGAATTTCCGGAAATGCTTAAAACAGAATAGTTTTCGTTATAAGTATTTCCGGAAAAAGAGTGTCTACATTGGCAGGATGCTTTTCCGGAAAAGCCCTTTTTCCAGAAAAGCGTCCATGGCCAATGTAGACGCGCTTTTCCGGAAAAGAGCCCCTATCGTCATTTCCACGATCGGGGCTTTTTTCCGGAAAAGACTACTGGGCTGTCTACACTGGCCCTTTTCCGGAACAGTGTTCCGGAATAAGGACTTATGCCCGAGTGGGAGCAGAATAGTTTTTCCGGAATAGCGGCTGGTTTTGTACAGTAGAGCGTCGTTGCTTTTCCGGAAATTCAAGGGCCAGTGTAGACAGCTCGCAGCTTATTTCGGAAAAGCGGCTGATTTTCCGGAATAAGTGGCCCAGTGTAGACACAGCCAACGTGACTCTAATAGGTGCAGGATGCGGACCGCACTCAGTAAGATGTGCAGCGAGGGGAGCGAGCATGTGAGTTTGCTCACCTAGAGCAGTATGTGTCCAAGACACATTCCCCTCCCAAACACTTTAAATCTAGAGCTCCATGGCAGCACGGTCTAGTGGGTACTGCCTAGCATGGGAATTAAAAGCTTTGATGATGTTCTCTTTGTGGCTCTATTATTCATTTGCTTTGCTGTGCCTTATTTTTGCCATCTGTAAAATGATAGCAGGGGAAGGATTTTTCCCACCTTTTTTGTAAGATGCTCTGAGCTCTGTGGATGAAATGCGGTTGGACAAGTCACTTGTGCCTCTGTTGTGCAGAATAGGGGTGTGGGCAAGCAGATGGACACTGTCGGGACAAAGTCTCCCATTGAAATGAACCCCTGTCACTGTTGCTTATGGCAGGTACACCTTTTATATGGTGTATTGATGTAGGTGTATTGGTACCCGGTGGGGCTGTTGGCAGGAAATGGGATTCCCCAGTCTGCCTATGCAGACATTAACAGGCAAGGAAAGGAACAACTACCAAATGTCTAACAATCTCTTAGCTTTCCTAAGCAGAGAGGTAGTGCTGTGTAGCAGACGAAACACCAGGCTGGGACTCAGGAAACCTGAGAACTATTTCCAGTTCTGTCACTTCACCTCTGTTTACCTTTCACCTTGTCTATTTAGATTATAAACTCTTTGGGAGCAGGAACTGGCTCTTCCTAGGAGTCTGTACAGTGCTTAGTACAATGGGGCTCTGATCTTGGAGCCCCCAGTGGCTGCTACAATACAAATAATAGTAATTTAAGGGATTCTGAAGTCAAATTTCTCAGGACTAGAAGCAAGAGCTGTGTTCTACTGTCAGTCTGGGAATCTTCCTCTCCTTCCCCCATCTCCCATTCCCAGCTCTGCGTGTGACTACCTGTAAATGTGTCACTGGGCTAGAAATGAACATGATCCATCTGTGCCAGTGTAATTTGGTGCTCCTTGAGCATCCTTGCTGTCTCCCTGCTTGCTTGGCAGCAAACCAAGTTAAACATGCTACAATAATTCTACCCCTCAGTAGGTCTTTGAAAGAACCAAATCTTCATTTGAGCATTAAACCAATTGCAGTATCTGGTTTCAATACTCCCAACCACATCTTACAGCAGTGTTAAAGAGCCAGCACTCTGAGCTGTTATTTTAGGAAACAAATCGCTCTATCGTTTGCACACACCCTTATAGGCAGATGACACTCCTCTAAACTCAACTACTTCAAAAGAAGGGAAGGCAAGATGAAGACCTCTTTGTTACTATGGGGAGTCCTGGCAGTATTCTTGGGGGCTACTCTTGTGGCAGGTAGGTGTGAAATGAAACAAAGACTATTATACATTATGCTTAAATATAAACTTGCATTTGGGTAGCTTTGCTGAACAGCCCAGCTGTCATCCACAATTTTAATAAGCAGGCAAGACAAATCTGTCTGCTAGGTCCCGACCCTGTGCCCACTGAAATCAACATTCATTGGACTTGACTTAGGCCCTTTGTCTCTGCACCAAAAGAGTGGTGTTTTGAAAGATCCCTATTGCAATGCTAAAGAGAGCGTTTGCTCGCTACTCCATAATGCCAGCTGGTTGCATCAATGAGTTGAAAGTCCAGGTGTTTTCTTTTCCTCTGATCTGGGACACTTGAAAGGCTGACTTTTCCTTGCTAGAATCAAAGGCTTCATTAATGCTTCTTTCTAGAAGAAATGGTCATTTCAGTAGGGCTGGATTCTGATCTCACTGTAGTTTTATACCATGGTGTAAGTAAGGTAAGAATCTTGCCTATAAAGAATAGTAAAAATGGTTGGTTGACAAGTACATTTAGACTAATTTGATGTGATTTTTACAGTGGTGTAACTTCAGTTACAGCTAAGATATGTTTAGTTTATTTGGTCAGATTCTACTGTGTATTCTCGTCTGTTGTCAATTGGAACAATACACCCCCACGGTCCATTATATCCTACGTTTTCTTTAATCTTGGTGACTTTAAAGGCTACATTTTGCGTTAATTTATAACTTCTTTATAATTTATTACTTCTATCAAAGATATTGATTTCATAGCAATGTAACAGAGCACAGAGTTTGGCTGCTGGTGTGTGTAGTATCGGTGACAGGGGTCGATTGTCAAATATGAACCAGTTCAACCGAGAGCTGAATTTGCTTCTTCTCATTGAAATGATTGCAGCCGCTAATGTGTGTGCCACTCACAGTTAAGTCTGTGTGAGCTAAGTGCCTTTCCGGGAGCCTAAATTGGACCATTTGTTTTTTAATTAATCCATTTTGAGACCAACTGGATTTATTCTTGCTTTAATAATGGAAAGAGTTTAAAATGTATCTCTGCACGAGCAGCCATTTTGCAGTTTCTTTGCTTTTTTATTATGCTGCAGATGATTATTTATTGATTTTATCATGGCATTTGACATGACCACTCATTGTTAAGAGAGACATTTCTCATGAAAATTCATTTTACACTCAGACACATGCAGAATATATTTATCCAACCTCCAAGCATTCATAAGTTCCTCTCCAAATGCCCTATTTAATTAACCACTGCTAAACTTTGCTTTTCCCAAGGAGTCTTTGTTGCTCTGTTGGGACGTGGAGACATTATTATACAGCTGGATGATGTTTTATTTTCACTGCTTGTGATTTAGAAGATGATTTAAATTTTACCAGAAACATAGAGCAACTATGATTACATATAATTGCATTCAATATTATTAGAGGTGAAGTCAGTGGAGTTACACCAGGGATGAATCTGACCCATTATTTTTAGTGTACCATAATAATCTTTAGAGCATGTCTTCCTAAAAGTTCACTAATGGTGCGGTCAGGATAATACATAAATACACCGAATTAGAGAATGACCCAAAGTGGGAATTTATTGACTTCAATGGACTTTGGCTCAAACTCTTAGAGAGGAGAATTATATGTGCGATACATAATACCGTTACAAAGGAGATGGAAAGGAAGAAGAAAAGGCTGGAGAAATGAAATCTGAATAGAGATCAAGAATCAATGAGGCAGAGACACAGGAAGACTGGATGTTTTAGAAGACAGGATTTTTGTTTAATCAGTTAAGTAGACTGTGGAAGGGACAGAGCGCGGAGACGGATAAAGACTATAAAACTTGAATAATAGAATCATAGAACTGGAAGGAACCTCAAGCGGTCATCATGTCCTGTCCCCAGCACTCCTGGCAGGACCAAGCACCATCTTCTATCTTGACTATCCCTGACAGGTGTTTGTCTGACCTGCTCATAAAAATCTCCAATGATGGAGATTCCACAACCTCTCTAATACCATTAACTCACAGACATTTACCTTCCTTCCTCCCCCCCCCTGCATCCGCCTTCTGTTCTGAAATGTGATTTGTCCTTTTCATGTGTGTTCATTTTTTTAAAATTGTATCCTTTGGTATATATGGTTGTGACAATTTTCTTCCACTCTCTAATACCATTAACTCACAGACATCTACCCTTCCCCACCTCTAATATCATTAACTCACAGACATTTACCTTCCTTCCCCCC